ATTAACTTCAAGAATAATCTCTAGGTTAAACTTGAAAACAGACAGGATAATTGTCCAGTTATAAAGGCCAATATTATACTCAGGTAGTGCTTAGAACATAAGGGATGTGGCGGCACTGCAGGTTAAACCGCAGAAGCCTCTGTGCTGCAAGGTCAGAAGACCAGCAGCCATAAGATCGAATCCACGCAATGGAGTGAACTCCCGCCGCTTGTCCCAGGTCCTGCCAACCTAGCAGTTCGAAAGCATGTAAAAATGCAAGTAGATAAGAAGTTACATCACAGTGGGAAGGTAACGGCATTCCGTGTCTAGTCGCGCTGGCCACGTGACCACAGAAACTGTCTTCGGACAAACGCTGGCTCTACGGCTTGGAGACGGGGATGAGCACCCCGCACTAGAGTCGGACACGACTGGACAAAATGTCAAGGGGAACCTTTACCTTTACTGCTTAGCACAACATCCCAATAGCTCATTACATGGGATGGTGCCACTTGCACAAGTGGTCTTATGGAAATCCTCATTTGTGTAAATGCAATATTTGCACAAAAGCAACATTTGCACACGTGCTATGATCCTGAGTTACTACACTGCTCAGACTTTCTGCTCAGCTGAAGTTTAGCAGGACACCAGCCAAAATCTTGCTCTGACATAGTAACTCCATGTAGACAATTTTAGGTACCCCAAAAGAAAAAGAATTTGAGAGAATAGCAATTTAAATTATTATTAGAAACTAGCATTTTTGATGGCCCTAAAACTGAGATGAAAATTTATTTATTTATTTATTTATTTAACTTATATGCCGCCCACACTACGTCTCTGGGCGGCTTACAGATTCATAGGTACCAACCACTTACAGTCCTGTGGTCTTTCTTCTTTCTATTCTATCTATTCAAAAAAACCAAAACCTAAACCTAAAGTAAATTATTTACTGCAATTGCAGTAGCCCTTAGGAGAATTTCATCTTGACTTTGCATTAGAAATCCGTGTGCCATGGATATGACAATGCATTAAGAAAACCAAGAAATCTCTCTTCTTTTGCTTGTGTTCAAAGTACATCAACAGCAGTCTCCCATTAACACTTTACTGTCTAAAGTCAGCATTCTACTTCTCAAAAATAACTGAAACAAAGTATATTCGAGAGCAGTGTAAACATATGGGGCTTCACTCCTAATGAAGGAAAACATCTTTAATAAACAACATTTTTATATAAACACCTAAGATTTTACATGCAGGAATGAAAGAGCTGAGAATGAAAATGTATAAATCTTTAAGGAATACAGTCACCTCACTGCCATCACTGTTTCACAAAAAAATAAATCATTTTTTCAAAAGCCCATTTTCTTCCCAAGTATACTTTAATACTTCATTGTTGGCCATTTTAACATATGAATGGTCTATTATTCCTCTGAAAAGGCATTGTATTGTTGGAATGCTGGAATCCCGGTCTATTAAAATAAGATCATGCTTACTGGCTTTTTAATCAACAGGACACTTAATGTTACACTTAATGTTGGGCTTAAGGACAGACATTCTAATCAGGATTGTTAACTGCCATTTCATGTAAAAAGATTTGCCACTCTAAAGGCAGAATACCAAAGACAATTTTTTTTCAAATTTTGCTGCCACATGGAGCAATTTTGCAGCCTTCCACAAATGAACCAAAGTAGAAGTTAACTTAGAAAATCAAAAAGAAGTGGACTTGTGCACAAAAGCCCACATTAAAATATTGCAGTTAGTCTTTAAGGTGCTACTATGTTTTTGTCTTCTTTATTTTTATTTATTTATTTATTTTGCCTTAGAAGATCCAAGTTGTTCTCTGACATACCAAAATAGCCATCAACAGGTTGGAAGCAAAGAAGGTGCTTTATTGCCAAAATATGGTCACCTGTGGTTTTGTATTGTTATTTGTGGAAGCAAATGTTTATAATTTTAGCTTCAATGCAGATGGAACTTTTTTATTTTAGGAGTGCTTCCTACTCCTTATGAAAATGGATGAAATTCAAGACAGCATTTACATTAGTAACACAATCCTTCACAAGCCAGTACATCTTGGAATCAGGAAGCTTAGGCATACAAGCATCTTCAAAGGACCAGGCTGCACATTTTCTTTATATATAACAACGCTGCCACCAATATAGTAGAATTTTATGCAAACATTTACTGAAACAATGGAAAGAGACACTGAATCATCTGTGGTAATGAGAGTTCAGCCATACACCAAACACAGATTTAGGGCAGAACAGAGACGTCCAAATGTGTTCTCCTCTTTCAACTTTAACATCAGACAACATGAGTGGCTGCAACCAAAGTGGCACTAACTAGAAGAATGTGACTTGTATCACTGCACCTATACCAATTCCACAACAAAACAAAACAAAAAACCCTATCAAAATAAAGAGCTCACTAATGATGATATTCTCCCTACATGATATTCTATAAAATATTCTTCACCATTTTTCTCAATACAGAGTTTAGAAGCCAGCTGAGCAGCTGAAATTTAGCCAAACTTCGTTTCCCTACAAAAGCAGGTCCTGGGGTTCAATTTGGAGGACTGGTGTTGCTTTATTAAACTGGCAGTGGAGAGCTAGAAATGGGCAGGTAGATCCTTGCATCCACCTGTACCCAACAAACACATACAGATGAAAATAAAAAAAAGTCTTCTTTATTTCTTTCAGCTGGTTTGACATCCTTTTTTTGTGTGTGTGTCACCAGGTAATCCACCGAGCAGTTAAAGTATAAATAAGAGATTCTCCTACTGCTTTTTAAAAATTTCTCACAGTTCTGCTAGGGGCACAGGATTCTTCTTCTAGGGCAAGGTGACAACCCTACACCAAGGACGGAACACTTCCCCATAAAGGCACTGAAATAACTGCAGTAAATGACAGCCTTGAAAAAGTTTTGAATTTCATTGTGTAGGAATTTAGCAAGTAGCCCCCTGATCTTAAGCAGTTATTCCTCCCAAGTCATCTGTAATCAGAACATTCTAATGTTATAAAGCTGATATGCCACCATTAGCTATGTGTTTTAAAAAATAAAATAAAACCAACAACAAGACAGAGCTGCAGATTTGATAGTTCCCAGTTCTGATCTCACAACTGCCATGAAGCAGGGGGAAAGGGCTGCTAAACCAGCTAGTCTCTCTTGGTCTTACTCTCTTGATCCTATACAGTACTAGAATAAAAAGAAACCTTAACAGAGATATTTTCTGTAGTTACTGTGAAATAATGCACTGAAATGGCTTTAACAAACTAAACTGCTACATAAATACTGATTATAATTAAATACCCTGCACAGGTGACAAATCTGATAGCAAAAATAAGAAAACAGGGTTCTCTTCTCTCCGTTTCAATATCTGTTTCTGATAAGTGTCAAGTATTTACTTTTTAAACTGATACTGCAGAACAGAAAACAAAGAAAACATTTTGAGATACATTTTTCAAAACCTTGTTCTCACTACACACTTTTGATTTGTTTCTGTGATGAGAACTAGAACACATAAGCTTACTAACTCTGAAAGCATACTTTGCAGAAGTTGAAGATACACGTCTGGGACAGGCCCGTACAACTGATTACTCAGGACAGTCCAGGCAATTTAAACTATGTCCCATTAGGTTACTGCTACAAGAAATTCTTGCCTGACTAAGCAAATAACTTGAGATAATTCCCAAGGCTGAGTCCTGACTGCTCCCATTCCAGAGCTGAAAGGGGAAATGAAAAATTTTTTTAGACAAAAGCAAAAGTCAGACATACACAGGGTGAAATAAATCACACTGTCAGCCTTGAGAAGAACAGCATATATTCCTCGGGCATGGACTCTCCAACAGGTTGTGTGGCTGCCAGAGAACCTGATGTGATGACATCATGAAGACTTCTACCAAAACAAACCAAAACAAGAGCAGCAGCAGCAGCAAAACCCACCCAGTTGCAAGAAGGCTAGACAACTCTGATAAACAGGGGGCTCAGGTCTGTTGAACAACTAAATATTTATTCAGAAAGAACCAGGACCAGTACGAGGCAAAGCAATGAAAAGGGGAGAGCTACAGCTGTCTTTTGTCCCATTTAGAGAAGAGACGAAGCAGTCCTATCAGCTGAAGATGCAAAGGCTCTCAGTTCAACAGCAGCTCAGGGCTCGTTCAGAAAGGCACCCGTCCTGCTGCTTGATGTGCTGCAGAGGCAGGTTGATTTACTTTTTTTCTGGTGACCAAATGATGAAATAGAGGGCCCCAACCCACACCTTTCTGGGCCCCTGTCAGGGGCTTCTACTCTTTTGGTGCAGGGTGCTATGCTCTAGACGTATGTACCCAGCATGTGTAATCCCTGGGAACAGACTAAAAATCAATCCTTGCCCTGAGACTGCTAAAATAACTTTGGCCACCATCCAATTTGCAAATATGTAGGATTAAGATCATACAAGTGAGTGTGACTTACTTGTGAGTAAACACCAAATGCAGCCCAACCCAGCCCTTCACCTCTTCAAGTAAAAGAAATATACACCTATATTCCTCCTATATTCTTCTCACCAATTCTGCCCTTCCTCCTGCATCTCTGAGCGGAAACGTCCTTCACTTTGGAGAACAGGAGCCTGATGGACCCATTTACTGGAAGTGAAGCTCATCTCATTGGCAAATATCACTAAGTCAAAGTCCGCCACACCACCCACCTCCAATTGTTTAACAATGAAAATGTGCAAGAACCAGATCCATTGCATGTTTACTCTGAATTAAAGTCACACATGGGACAAATCCTCCTCTGCCAGTCCAGGATATTAGCCTGTAGCTCTCAGAAGAGAATAAGGAGAGATCAGGGAGAGCTTCTTTTGACAACTGCCAAGCAATCCCAGGAGCTTTATCTGTTGCCAGAGAGGAGGAGAGACCCCATTTCAACATGAGCATTGTGCCAAATGGCATATTACTCCTCCCATTGACCTTAAGCGACCCTATTTCAGACCACACCAAAAAGGCCAGTGTGGCTACTCCTGCATTTAAACAGATAATGCTACTTACCACTTCTTGGTGCATTCAACCATCAGCTCCTGATAAGAGGCCACAAATTGGAATTTTGATGCATGTTTTCCAACCCGTTGCAGCCTTTTCCATACTGAAGCCATGACGATGAAGAGTTAAAACACCTGGAGGTTCAGTTAAGAGTATGAAATCTGAGGCTGAGCGAGACGTGATCTTATGGTTTGTTTGTGTTAAGTGATCTACATACAAGTCTGACAAAAGCAGTGAATAAGGAAAAGGCTGAAATGATGCTCAGGATGCATGGGCTGTATTGCCCTTCCCTAGGATAAATTCCATTTTAAGTGAGTGGCACACTATTGGATGATTATAATATGATCCATGACGATGATGAGAGACCACAACTGTAATGAAGTTCCCTTATGGAGTCCTTGTTCTTTTTCATGAGCTCAAGAAAGGTCCAGACTGAAACTGGAAAAAAAAACAGAACTAGAATGAGGCCATGGCTAGCATGACATGTCATAATATCATTAGTGTGGGTAGTTTTCTGCCCAACATTTGTGAATACACAACCAATACTGTACACATATACAACTCTTCCTAAATCCTTAAGAGAGGGGGGGGGAACGCAGCAGCAATTCCAAGAATGCAAGCCACAAGTCTGACTGGAAATAAACCAATCACCTCTTTTATCTACACCATCATCATCCAAAATAACCTCTGTGCCTCAACAAGACAGGCCAGGGCCATCTTCCAATGTCTGTTGGAGCTAGTGCTATACTGACGAACCCACAGAAAGAAAGTACAGTACCTACTTTTGTCTCCATGCAGATGACAAAAAGGTGTAACAGTTGCTTCTCCCCACCCTGCTTCCCTTCTAGGGAAAGTGGCTGTGCCTAACGGAACAGTGTACTGTATAGGGGAGCAAAAGAGAAGGAAATCGCACGAGTCTTTAAGTGGAAAGGAGACCTCGTCGGGCGCGGGGGGGCTGTCTTCCCTCCCCCTTGGAAGATCTCCTCTCGGGCTACGAGAGGGCATCCCCCGCTTTCAGGGACGCCTCGCCTTCATTGTTTCTGTGCCCATCAGGCTTAATATTTTGTTCTTCCACATATACACGCGCGCGTCCGCGCACCTTCCCCACTCCTCTGAAAAGGGGTCTGTTACTCATTAGCCACCCCGAATATTCAGCACGGCTCTGGGCAGGTCCAGAGTCCCAAATCATTCCGACCCTGGGAGGGGGCTGGGAGGGGAAAGGAGTCTCCAGACTGACATAAGGATAGAGCCCGGGCTAATTTCTGGGGGAGGACAAAACAACGTGGGGGGCTATACTGACGAACCCACAGAGAGAAAGTACCTACTTTTGTCTCCATGCAGATGACAAAAAGGTGTGACAGTTGTTTCTCCCCACCCTGCTTCCCTTCTAGGGAAAGTGGCTGTGCCTAACGGAACAGTGTACTGTATAGGGAGTGCTGTCTTTATATCCAGCGTTTAGGCTCAGGACGCCAGAAGTGGGGGGGAAGGCAGAGGACAGACACTTCCTGAGCTTCAGCTGCTCAGGAGGAGGAGAGGCTTTTCCCCTCCATCACATGGGAAAGAGTTCCATTACGAGGGAATATACACAGGCGGGCACTTTCTTTCCAGCAAGGGAACCAGGACCGGGATTGCCAGAAGGACAGCGTCCGCGCACCTTCCCCACTCCTCTGAAAAGGGGTCTGTTACTCATTAGCCACCCCGAATATTCAGCACGGCTCTGGGCAGGTCCAGAGTCCCAAATCATTCCGACCCTGGGAGGGGGCTGGGAGGGGAAAGGAGTCTCCAGACTGACATAAGGATAGAGCCCGGGCTAATTTCTGGGGGAGGACAAAACAACGTGGGGGGGGGGGCGTTGGGAGGCGAGGAGCTCCTGGACGTCTCTCTCTCTCTCTCTTTGCCGCCACCTTCTCTTTCGCTCTCTCTCTCTCTTACCTTCCTTCTCCTGGATCCACACCTTTAATCCCAGGGAAGCTCGGCCGGCGGCGGGTGCGGGTGCTGGGGCTGCTGTCACACACACACACAGACACACACACCAGCCAATATACTAGAGCTGCCCATTTACAGCCCTGCTAGCGCCCGCCAGCAGCTGATCCGCTCCAGTGACTCCAGGAGCCCCCATTGCACAGCGGTGAGCCTTAAACCCAAGCGGGAGGCTCCGCTCCCGAGCCTGGCGCAATCAAGGCGGCGGCAGCAGCAGCAGCAGCAGCACCGCCGATCACCCTGTTGGGACGGACGCCGCAGCAGCAGCAGCAGAAGCAGCGGCTCACATTCCACAGACGCCGACGCCGCCACCTTCCTGCGGCCAGAGGTGCGCGCCTCACACCAACTTCGCCCAGCAGCGCAACCGAACCGACAACTCTCACTTACGCCATTGGCAAGAGACTCGGGCCCTCCCAAAGGGGGCGCGCGTATTGGTGCAGGCTCCGCGTCAATCACCCTGCCCAAGCAGGAACGGAGCGGGCGGGGGGGAAAGCAAAGCTCGGCTCGCCGTTCGGGGTGGGGAGAAGAGAGAGAGAGGGATAGAAAGGCTGGGCTCGTTCCCCTCGCTCCAGTGGAGTGTTTCTATTGGTTTGCCGTATTCTGAAGAGGCGGGGTTGTTTACACCGAACGGCGTAACAATTGGACGGAGCCAGTGTCCGTCTGAGAAAAGTTGTAAGAGCTTGGATATAGGGAAAACAGCAACTGCCGCCTTTGGCTTACGTGGATCGTTCGCAAAAGTCTTCTCTCTCTTTCCCATCATGGGTTTCATTTGAGTAACTGAAATAAAAACTCTTTTCTGCGGTTAATTGCAAGCTCTATTGTTTGCATGTGCGAATGAAAGGGCTGCAGCTCACGCCAATTGAAACTTTGCAGCTTTTAAGGTGCCGCAAGCCCCTTTGCTGGATTGGAGGGGGTCGTTCGTTGCTTAAGTGCCCCGCTCCCTTTGGACCTGCAAGCGTAGCCAAAGTAAACGCGGCCCCAGACGGAGGACGAGGAGGAGAAAGATGCAACGCTGACTTAAAACTGGAAGGAGGTCCTTCCATTCCCATATATACGTATTCTGTGAACAGAAGCTGCCTAATTGGGGTTCCTGCTACTTCGCACCTCGTAGGAACTGTAGGACCAGCCATTGAAACCTACATTCTTACTGTTAATGATCTGTGACAATAGTGCTATTGTCATTTTGCTAATCCATTTCCTGTGCCTACCCTGTACATAACCTGTGGTTTTGCTCATCTTAATATGTCTGAAGAAGTGGGTGTATCCATGGAAACTGATTTTGAAATAATAGTCAGTCTTCAAGGTGCCCCAATATTTTCTCTTCTTTGTTGTTTGGTTTGGTTTTGTCTGGCTATGGTACTGAGGATCTTTGGGCTGTGATAGCACTGTGCAAACCATAATAACCAGATAGAAAAATCATGTTAAGTTTTGCTCATCTTAGTATGTCTGAAGAAGTGGGTGTATCCATGGAAACTGATTTTGAAATAATAGTCAGTCTTCAAGGTGCCCCAATATTTTCTCTTCTTTGTTGTTTGGTTTGGTTTTGTCTGGCTATGGTACTGAGGATCTTTGGGCTGTGATAGCACTGTGCAAACCATAATAACCAGATAGAAAAATCATGTTAGTCTTCCTCCTCTTAACTAGGAGAAAGGTAGTCTTCATATTTCTCATACCACAAACTAAAAGGAAATATCACCCTTACTACTCCCAGGGTATTGTGTTCTATTCTAAATGAGAACTAAAAACCAACCGGGCCTATAAAACAAGATGTTGCAGTGTGAAGAACTCCTGTCCAAAGTTCCACTCGGTCGTTGCTCTTTGAAGCATCTTCTTTTATTTCCCTCTCTTTTTCTGTTGTTTTGTTGGGGGGGGGGTGTTGGTAGCAGACAGACTGCATTTCATACCCAATGAGTATGTTAAGTTCCCAGTGAAGTTTTTGGAGTGGGGGGATCTCATTCTTTGCAACTTTTTTGTTTGAAAGCGCGCACTCTCTCTCTCTCTCTGAATAATTTTGGTGTTTCCTCTAGCCTGCTTGATAGCCACATGGGGTCATGAGGAATGGCACTTGAAGCATGAGTTTACTATACATAATATAGTAATGATATAAAAATATGATAATAATATAAAAATAGCACTTCAGGAGGAAGGCTGTTTCGACAAGAAATGCATACTTTTTCAGGTTCCTTTACTGTGAAATTCTGGCACAGAAATTGCACAGAAATTTTGCTTTCAGTTTTCTTGATGAGTTTTAGAAAACTCATTAAGAGAAAGCTGCTTTCCTCACACAAATAGTGAGTTCTCTTCTGGAACAGATGGCTTTATCTCATGCAATAACCATTTTATAATTTGCTGTTTTTTTAGAATATTTATGTACCATTTTTAACAAAGTATTCTCAAAGCTAAGATTTATTCACACACAGATATGTATCAGGTAATACCTCAGTTATTTTATGACTTGCATTTTTAAAGTATATAAGTGTTTTTAATTTGCATAAATGCATAGTAGCCCTTAAGGATAGAATAGGAAATACTTGAGATATGGTATAGGATATAAAGCTGATTAGTCTATATAGTTTATCAGATGTACAACCTTAGTATTGTTATATCATTTTATTGTGCATTTTAATGTATATGTATATGTTCATGGTTTTAATGGCCAGTGGCTATAACAAACGTTTGCATCGTGGGGATACCTCGTCTGAAGACCCACATGAAATGACTTGGCTTTAATATTTATATTATGTGTACATTTTAATCTCTATGTATTTTGTTTAGAGAATGTACGTATTTGTATTTGTACTTTTTGATCTGCTAGCATTGTTTGTTCAGCTGGCACCATGTTTGAGTATATATTATTATTTGTACAGTACTTATGTTTTAAATTGGTGGAAGCTGGATGACCAAAGTGGTCAAAACAATGAAGATATGGTATTAGTTAGTTAGCAGCCCTTTGTGATGAATGGCTGAACTGCAGGTGACAGCCTTCTCAGTGAAGAACATTCCAGAATGACTCCGCTCACTCAGATTTAACAATTTGCTTTTCTTCTTCATCTTTAGTTCCATTGTGTTTGGTCTTGTTCTCAGGTCCTGCCTTCTGAATACCCTCTGATCAGGACACTTCTTCTGTACTGACTTCCAGTCCCATGACTCACTCCAGACAGGTGCCCATGTTCTAGTTCTGACATGCAAAATTGGGCAGCCATTAAAACTCTTTAACTGTAGCGTTTTCAACCACATTCCCACACATTCATGCTGATCAGGTTGTAGCAGTAGCTTCTGCATCTCTTGGGAAGAGGAACAGCTCAGCTGTACAAATGACTTGCCTTTCTCAGAAAATGTTGCACCTGAAGTGCTTTTATGTCAACAGAAGAAGTCAAGTACTAGTATAAGCCTTTTTATGTTGCAGTTGTGTACATTCATAGTGCTTCATTAATACACCTTACAACTGTGAATTTCATACTATGTAAGACAGAAGAACATTTGACAAATTTCTTTTCAATAGATCACATGCACTGACCTAGAATTTGCTTATTTTTGTAACAAAAAAACGCTGTTTTTCCCAAGGAAAATCATGTTATGTTACATGAACATTAAAAACTAGTTATGAACTATGTTTCACTCCTCCTTGTTACATAACATGATAGGTAAGGGGAACCCTCTCCCCTTTCCACTTGTGAAAGTTGAATGGATTGCTAACTGAACAATATAACACTGGCAAGAAGGCAATGACTCTTAATCTATTAGTAAGGTGCAACTAGAGTAGGCTCATTGAATCAATGGTATTCACCAAGTCCCACTACTTCAATGGGCCTACTCTAGATATCTTTCACCACACCTGAGAGAAGCAGATTAGTTTAAGGGTTGGTTCACAATAGGTCATGTGACATAGGCAGGTCTGTTCTCCTACAAACAGGAATGCCTGGGGAGCACACGCAGCAGACATGCCAGGAAGTCCATGGCAACCTTTCCCTTTATCACAGGGCTAGCCCTGCAAGTCAGTGCTAACAACAATTTCCAAGTTATTGTATATTGGATGGTCTAGAAATTGCTGAGAGGACCCTGAAGCATAAAAGGTATAAAAGTGACCTTTAGGACCACCACAATTCTGCCTCATATTCAAGGAGTACTTCTGTTTCATTCCAAAACCCTGCTCTATGAATTTCCAGAAAAACAGGCAAGATAAATCTTAAAGTAGGCCCACCAAAGTACATTTAGAAGTCTGCAGAGATGCAGAATGTAGCTACTCAGTGTACTGTATGTATTTAGCCAAGATGTTATTCTTTCCCACACATAGCCAACCTTTCTCTCCCCAGCAGAATAAATGTAGAGGATCCGGTGACTGTTCAGCAGCTTCTGTTTCAAAACATCATTATTTATTAACATTTTCCATTTTATACTTTGCTTTTAGGTTCACATTACATGAGGCGTAGAGAACATAAAAGCAAGCAAAATTAGTTTCTTCTCTAGGTATAGAGACAGATTTGTTATAAAATGAAAGTTAATTTACTGCTGTTTGTTTTAAAAATATTGATCAATTATTTGACAAAAGCCTTAATGTATTACTGTTAACAGTCTGTGGTCTCTCAACATGGGAGAAAAAAATCGCATGACACAAATTAGCCCATAATACGTGGCTATCTTATAAATATTCTGCTCTGCCACATTCTGCTGCCAGTACCTATCTGCTTTTAGCAAACAGACCATGTGTTCAAGTTCTGCTCTGACTTAGTCCATTCAAACTAGCTTGTAAGTCGGAATGGCTTCAGTGAACCATATGTGGTTCATAGCATTAGAACTCACACATTAAAAGAGTGATAGGATACTGGAAACAAAAGACAAGTTTATGGTTACAAAGTATTCTTTTATCATTTATGCAACTAAGGACTCATCATGTGGCTTTCCATTTAAACAGTTAAGGAAAAGTGACATAAGCTTATACATTTAGATTGTTCTTTTGCTGTGCTTAGGTTCAAAACTGAAATATTTTTTTCAGCTGACTTTTCCAATCTGTTGTTTATTATTATGTGCTCAGTTGAATATCATGTTACATGCAGTACATTTTGTTTTCTAACAAGTCTCTATATTATACTTAATTATTAAAGAAAATGCCTTTTAATATTTAAGAATGACTGTGTACTCATGTTTGATATTAGACTTTACAAAATGTAACTGCTTTGATGTTTATAGATTCTTGTGATAGATTTTGTTTTATTGCTTAATTTGTTTATTATTATGCAGTCATAAAGATTTAATTTAATTTAATTTTAATCATGGTTAGCTTTCTTCAGTGCTCCTTTTTTTAAGGGATAAAAATATAAGGAGATAAAAACATGCAAGAGTCTCTTTCTGTTTTCCAAACAAACACAAAGCATGGAAA